GCAGGAAACATGCCCTGAACTGCCACCGCATGAAGCCGGCGCTGTTCACCGTCCTGTGCGAGATCAAGGAGAAGACAGGTAGGGGGGTCCCGGGCCCCCCTGTCCCCCTCCGCCTGGGCAGCCCCTGTCTGGGGCCGGAGCGCGGCCTGGGCGGGGTCCAGGCACTGAGCATCGGCCCCCCCTCCCTGTGCCCCACATGCCGGGGGGCCTGGGCAGCTGGGTCTGTGTGTGCAACAGGACCCTGTGTGGGGGTGTGTTACATCCAGCTGGTCAGCACGCTGCGTTGGGGGGACCCTGGCTGGGGGGTGTGTGTGTGAGGGGTGTGTGTGTGTCGGGGGGGTGCACAGATGTTCTGTGTGTGGGGGTGTTTAAAACACACAGAAATTGCGTTGTGTCCATATGCACACTATTGTGTACATGGGATTTACGTGTGTTGCTACATGCGTGGAAGTCGTGTGTGTACAGAGATACTGTGTGTGTCGAATTATATGGAGGTACCCTGTGTGTGTGTGTGTGTGTGTACCCGGCTGGCAGCGTGTGTATGTGTGACACACACTGTACTAATACTGACAGATACACACGCGTGTGCACGGGCACGGACACACAGACACACACACAACCTCGCGGATCAGGTGCCCCCAGCGGTAGGTCTGGCGGTGTGAGTGTGCTGGTTGTGGGTGTCAGTCAGGCGTGTGTGTAGGAAACATGGAGCAGCCGGGCGTGGCCTGGGGGGGCGTGTGCCAGCGAGCGAGGGAGCCGGCGGGGGGGGGGGGGAATTGGTGTCGGTTCCGTGTGTGCCCCGGGGGGGGGGCTGTTTGGGCCTGGGGTCTGCACCCCCTGACCCCCCACAACTAACCCCAGGGAGTTAATGGGGGTCCCCTGAGAGCGTGGGGGGCTTGGAGGGGGCAGGTGACGAGCTCAGGACCCAGCCCCCCCTCCCCCCTTCCCAGGAGAGGAAGAGTCATTACTAGGTCGTCACCATGGCGACCATGGGGCCAGCGAGGGGGCTCAACTTTTGACAGCACCAGCTGAAGGGGCTGCGGGTCGGGAGTGAGGGGCGCCGGCCGGGCCGGGGGCTGCGGGTCGGGAGTGAGGGGCGCCGGCGGGGAGGGGGG